ACACAGCAAAATGGGAAAGCTGTTTTTCTACTGCTGGCTCCTCTCTCTTCTATCTGGCACCACCATTGTGGATTGTTAAATACAATCTCTCCATCTACCTCCCTCAGCCCCTTTTTGTTCTGCCTCCACCTAAGAGTTCCGATCAAGCAGATGGACAACACTAAGTGATAAAAACATTTCTAAATGAATGGAAAACAAATCCCAGCTGGCACAGCTGCCTGGTGGTGATAAATATATGCATTATAAATACAAATATTAATAGTAGAAAATATTGTAGACACATACAAATTGTGTTACCTTATGTGTGTACCAGATAGGTGAGACTTGCAGGACTCCAGATCAACTTACATTTTTTTTTATTTGAAGTATTACTTTAAATACATTTAATAGTCTTTTTTCTTCTATTGAACATGTAATCATTTCATATTTACTGTCTTAACCTCTCTTTAATTATCACCTTTTACAGTTCTCATCTTCATTTCCTTTGACCTGATCCCTTTCTCACCCTTGTTTAAAGAGCAAGCAAGGGTTATTTTTGAAAGGGTATTTTTATCATTATTTGTGTTATTGGCAGAGGTTGAATACCTCACACTATCTGATGTCTCCTGAAGCCATAAACCATAAGCCATAAGATTAAATCTAATATTCAAATGCAATTCATTTTTAAAGTCAGATGTAGATCTTCCCTTCCTCCCCCTCACATCTGACCTTGGGCTGCTGGTAGTGCTCCATGGACATGGTGATGACGTTGAGCCCTATGACGATGGTGATGAACAGGTCCAGGTAGTGGCTGGTGCACAGCTTGTGGATGAGCAGACGAGTGGGGGAGTAATCAGAGTAGTATGGCTTACTCTGAGCTTCTGTTGGAAGTGGGAAGGCATGGGGGGTGGGCGGCACAGGGAGCAGGGAAGGAGGAGGAGGAGGAGGAGGGGGAGGTGGTGTTTAAAAAGTGAGATAGGAGGTAATACACTGGGGCATTATACATTAGACCTGTTGAAGACTGGAGCCACCAAAGCTGCCTTTTAAAAAGAAATGGTCACACAAACACAACACCCTCCTGTACACATAACTGTACCAAAGTCACTCATGATGTCACTCATATCAAGCATAAGAGATATACAAAGAGAAATATGAAGAGATTATAAGAGGGAGATCAAATAATGAGCAGAGACAAAGAAAACCCCTCTGGTCTGAGGTCATAACTAATCAAATCAACTGTCCTCTCTTCTGATCAACAATTACTTAAATTAACTCTCCCCTGAGAGAGTGTGATGAGAGATAAACAGTACAGTGTGCCTCCATGGAGGTGGCTGCTGTCAGGATATTTCTGTCTGGAGATTTGGCCTTCTCTTCATCTGTCTCCCTGATCATCATGTGTCTCAGCCTCTTGTCATCTCTTTCACTTCTCTCAGGAGAAACCTTTTCCACACTCATCCATCACTTTGTTCCTCACCTCTTTCCTCCATTCAGTGGGAATGGATTGATGGGCTGTATTTAGTTAGGATGAGGAGGAGAGAGGAGGCTTGCTCTGTCTATCACATTATCACTCCATCAGTGAAGGAGAGGCCCTGGGTCACATGGGAAATTGAAGAACTCACACCCAACTCCTTTGGGTGTTGTTAGTGCTGCCTCTATTCCCAATTAGCTCAGGTGTGCAGTCATGGATGCAGCTGTGCTGGGACGGGACGAGTCCCACAGGTGTGTATACTGTATGTGTGCAGTTCCTGGTGTGTGCCTAGTGTTTCCCGGTCATACTAGAGAAACTCCGCTCATAGATCAGGGAATGAGACAGGAGAGCTGAGAAAGCAGAATGTGTTAACAGAATAAATATTCTGAGCTTAAATATATACCTGAATCTCTGGGGACTGAAATTTACCTCTTGAGAAAAAAACCTACCAGGTGCACAGTTACTACGAATGTGGAGCAGAGAATATTCTTAATGTATGCTATGGTGTGTTGACTTTCTGCAAACACTTATATCATTTCACATTAATGGAACATGTTCATATTTCAGTTTTGTGTCAGCCAATCATCAGTGCTGGCTACTGGCTGCCCTGTACACACCTGGTCAACACTATTGATCTTTATAAGAGGAGAACAATGGATGTCCTCTCTTGGTTAATCAGTCACCAATATGTTGCTGCTGCCTGCAGCAGTTTCCCTCTCTGAACACCTACTGTATTATTTAGCTTCAATGATTTATGGTATGTTTAAGTACTGCTGGGAAAATTTGACATCTTTGATTGGATTCTTGTGTTTTCATTCTTAATGAAATCAAATCTGAAAGACAAAAATTCAAACAAACAAACTACTACTTTAAACTCTATTACAAAATATTCACCAAATAACCGTAACATAATTAAATAAATAAGGCCAGATAAAATTCACTGGGGTGATATTACCTGAACTATGGTTCACATGTTGGGAAGGCTTTTTTAATGTGCATTGTCTTCTCTGCACCTTCACCGACACTGCACTGAAAATGGTAGTGATGAAACAAACTGAATTTATTTGTGTCAGTACTGCCTACTGGATGAACCACAGGATCGGCCAGTATTGGCAATGCGCATGCCAGAAAGTGACAATAACGTGGCTTCTGGTGTGTTTGACCTGGCTTTTCAAGAAAAAAAAATGCTGAAACAGGCCGACATACTCGGTTACCTCATGTCCTGGAATCAACTCTGCACCCACACTCCTCCATTAACTGATTTTTGAGGTTATACCTTTCATCATATGATCCACTGGGCAGACAGTGATAAAGCAGCTTTAGAGCATCTTGGGAAAGTCTGGGAACATGTCTTTGACCAGCCAGGACATTCAGGTATAGCCCTATTTGTCTTCAGTCTTTATCCTCCTTCACTGATGTGGCAGGTCCAGCCTCCTCTCTCAGTGTTAATATGCTTTTGAAAGGGAACCAGGATGGGTGCACAGGTAGACAGGGGTCAAAACCTGCAGACCAGGTCATGATGCCTGCTCTCTGCATCTCCATCCTGACCCCAACTCCGTGTATGTTAAACAGATGATCCGGGACAATCAGTTCATGGGGAATTAGATCTCAGTATGTTTGTCAAATAACTGCACTGCATACACAAAATTATAGCTATAAATTATAATAAAGGATTTATTTTTTGTTTGTTTGTGACCCAAATGAAATAGTCTGGCCTTTTGTTTTTATGTATGACAACAATAAGCATGGCTATCCACAGCATCCTCAGACACCTTTATAGCCAATGTCCAACAGATCTGACCATTCTTGAAATAGACGTTTATGTCTCTGAAGAATGACATTCATTTGTGAATGTATATAAACTGGCTATAGAATTGTTTGCCTTTATTCGATGCAGCCAAATTCACACTATAGTCTTCTCAGTATTTTTGTCTTTCCATTGTTGAATAACTGAACAAAGATTTAACAGTGATTTAATCGTGGCTCATAAACACTACTTGGTAACAAGCAGTCACTCTCTCGCTGATGCACTCTGTTGCTGATAAAGTCTTTATTCTTATAATTGCACTAAAATAACTCCTATTTTATCACAGGAAGTGATAAAAGTTTGTCTTCTTAATGCTACTTAGCACCAATCCCTTACTGCACAGGTCTGTTGTAACTCTGCATTAGCCCCATTTTGAGGTTAAAAAGATGCATTTTAATACTTTTTACCTATGTATGCTACTCTGTATACTCTGCTCTGGTGTAAGGTCGTCCAATAAAGTACAATCACAAAATCTGTTACCACAATACAGTACAGATGGTGACAAATCAAAGGAAAACCCTGAATAAGAGAGTGGTCTTTTCCAGGGTATGAGGGGTCACTGAATGGTTTCGGTCTTTTCCAAGGTATGAGGGGTCACTGAATGGTTTAAATATGAAAATGATGTGAATCATATGATACAGCCTTCACAGATTTCAACTCAGCTGAAAACCTATGGGAGATTCTGGAGCGATGTGTTAGAAAGTGTCTCCACCATCATCATCAAGACACCCAGTGAAAGCATAGCTTTTGGAAGAATGGTGCTCATCCCTCCAGTAGAGTCCAGAGACCTGGAGAGTCAAAGCCAAGGTGCACTGAAGCTGTTCTGGTGGCACATGGTGGCCCAGCACTTTATTGGGACACTTTTGGGGATATGTACTAAACCTGTCACAGATTACTGTAAGATAGAAAATATGGCAGCACATTTTTTCAATTTAGTGGCATATTTACTGATTTACTGGTGATGTAAATGAACACAGCTGTAGCTGTGTTAATTTGACACCTTTGCTTCAGATGTGGTGCCTGAAGGCTGTTGTGAATGTGTGGACCAAGGGGAAGTGTAGGAGAAAGTTCACAGCTACCAAAGTTTAATATGATTGAAGAAATATTTAGAACTGCAATCACATAGTCTCCTGCCAGTCAACTAATCTTGCGTTTTGTTGAGTAATTAAAGCATGGCTTGACCTGAAAGCCTATACAAGTCCTTCACATTCTCTTCTGGTGAGCGATGAGATTTACAAACACCCTCTCCCTCCTCAAACATGTTTTTAACTCCAGCAAGGTCTCAGATGATTAACAGCTGCCACTCTGACAGCTGTGTCACAAATTTTACTTACTCCTGATGTTACATTTCAGCCACAGTTCCCTCTGTCGCAGTGGTGGTAAATCAGGTGCGGAGAATATTTGAATAAATTTCCATTCTCTCCTCCCTGATTTTTGCATCCCTGATCAGGA